ATTTGGCCGCATTCTTCAGTTGAGTTATTTTTGTCGTTACAGTTCATGTTGGCCGACAGTTAATGTGAATACATTTATCTTTGGTTATGTACTTTATTCTTATCAAATGTATGAAAAGATAGTGCTGACTATGGCTACAAAGTGATGTATCACGACATTTAGGTGCTCCTCTTCAGTCAATCACGCCGATTATGTTCAAATGACCTTTCATCATTAGCCCCTACGTTGATCTTCTTTATACATACTCTTGCGCAAACCACTCAAGTTGTAGCGCAAGCTTCCAAGCAAGTAGGCCCGACAGATCATCATCAGCGATATAGGTACTCACTGAAACCGGTTCAACATACGTATGTATATACAGATGGTTACTGCTACAAGTATTCTTTAACTACGATTTCTACTAGAAGTGCGCAGAAGTGTATGTGGCTTTCGAAAACGGGCTAGGTCACAAGCATTAGATGGCTTCTCTCCTGCTTGTTGGCGTGATTTTGTCATGCCGTTCAGGGTCAGTAGGTGTTACTTGACGTCCTTTCTTTACCACCGGCTCCCGTCCCTCCATTCCCGGCGGTATAGACCCCGGTGAGCCGGCGACCCTGGCAGTGGACCCCAGCGACCCCGGCGGAAGACCCCGACAGACCACGGCGGTGGACACCGGCAGACCCCGATGGCCCTGACAGTGGACCGCTGGCAGGTCGGGGACCTGTCGGCCAATCGGTCCATCTCGCGGCCTGATCGAACCGAGACGCTGGTCGCAGCCACTGGCGCGGAGCTCACGTAGGATGTCATTGATCCCGGTGGCGGCGCTCGAACGGCTAACGGTTCGCTACCACCGCCGCCGCCGCCGCCACCGCCGCCGCCGCTACCGCCGTCGCTACAGGCCCGCCACCGCTTGAACGCGACTAGAGCACTTAGAGTGTGTAATTGGCCGAACGGGGATCGGTTGAAACTGTATCAACCGGCGCGGTGGTGGGATAGGTGCTGATCGAGGGTGATGATAGTTTTATTTGCGATCTGCGCATAGTTGGGCTGTCTTCGAGCTGCGATCGTCAGTTGATAAGTGTGTTGATCTGGGTCTTTGCTGCTAGTCTGAAGGTGGTAACCTGCCGCTGAAAGCTCCGTAAGCTCTCGCTTCGACTTATTTCGCGTTGTTGCATGGCTGCCGTTGTCTCTGAATGAGGGGCGCATGCGCTGCGGTAGTACTCTGCCAACCGGTTTACTACTCAGTGACCTTGCCGTGCAACGGGCCGACCCACTGCGCCGGGTGCCCTGTCCGGCCGGGCGCCCCTCCGCCCGCGCGCACTGAGCGGGCGGGCGGTGGACCGCCCTCGGCACTCGCTCCGCCCCCGCCCCCGCCCCCGCCTCCGCCCCCGCCTCCGCCCGGCCGCCGAGACTGGTCTGACCGGGCGGGACCGGGCAGGACTGACTGGTCTGCGGAGCTGGGATGATGCATATGGTGAGACATTGCACTTTGCAGCTTATTTACGATTCAGGGACAACCATACTGGACAGGCGACAAATGCTGACATTCAATTGCATGCAAGTTGCATACATCGCACCTCGATGAATGCTTGAAGCTGGTTTGATTATTTGTCGTTTTTATTCGTGTAAACGTAGCTTTGTCACTCGCGCTGGCTCCGCAGTTTATTTACTTGTTTCTATGTGCAAGCTGACCAGGGAAAGCTAAGACAAAAATTGTTCGTTTGATATAAATTAACATAAAATTAATATAATTAAGTGAAGTGAGATAACACACGGGTGGCCACAATATCTGCGATACAATCGGTAGGACCAGTCCTACGGCCCCAATTACAGAGGAACCTACTTTCGAGAGAAGTTTCTTCGCAGATCTGAGAGAGACGTGGCATTCTTTTGTGTTCCAAAACGCCTGGAGAATATCGCCTCGCCTGTAACCATTAATTACCGGTGTAAAAGGAACTGACGTACACCAGTCGCCGAAGTCGCTTATCGCCATCGGTACGCTCCTGTATGGCTAGAATGGTCCAGAATGGTCTCGTATCTAGAATGGTCCGGAGTGCTTACTGCGTAATACCGGGATCTTCAAGGAGGGGAGCTCAGAAATGCGTGAGAAAAGCATGTGTGAGAACATGGATTCCTCAATGATAGATATCAGGCAGCGCCATAGTGTACAATTACTAATAACTTGCGCTTTGCAGCGTGAATACGACGTGCAGAGGACGTCAGTAGCCTATATTTATCCCCGGTGTTAATAATGTCTCTTCCCGCCATATTCCCAAATCTCCCTCTCCAACACTACTCTACTAAGCGCCGCGGTCACAGGGCGACCCGATAGGCGGGCTCAATCGCCGAGCGGCGGCCTATCTGTCCTAATTTGGAGAGGAGGCGGGTGGCGGGCCGGGGCGCGTCCTCCGCCGAGCCAAAGTGGGCCACCTGTCGCTGCCAGCGAGTCGGCTGCGCTCCACTGCGCCCGAGCGGCCCGAGCGGCTGGCCGCTGCTGGAGCCTGGAGGAACGACGCGGTGCTTCTGGAGCGGCCCGCAGTCGCTCATAGGCCATTAGAGGTTGATAGTCTGTTCGTGACTTACCTGAGATGACATTTTAAATTTGAGTATCATATATTGTGTCATCTACATCCCCTTCAAGTGTACCTTGAAAGTTTTTAAGAGGGCTTTTGCGTTCACGAGATGGATGTCTCGAACTTGGCCAGAGAACCTAGGCAGCAGTATAACCAATACTGTCACATTGTGTGAACTTCAGTTACACGTCATCATGGATTTTCCAAACACACCGCCGAACCCACCCCGATTATATTGCTCAAGTTTCGGGGGAATTCCGTCGACCAATAGTGTATGACACTAGCGGCGTAATCCACGCTCGGAATCACGCCGGGCGATAGCGCCCATCCGTCTTCAAGTGAGGGCGTGGTCGGGTGGTGACGGTGGGCGTCCGGGCGCCCCGGCCGGCGCCCCGGCCGGCGCCCCACGCCCAAGTAGGCCGGCCGGGCCCCTGCCGCGCGTCTGGGCCGTCTGCCCGGGGCGCCACCTCCTTACGAAAGGCGTTCGGCCACTCCCAGAGTTACATACACCAGTGGGGAGAGGCAGGCGGGGCGGGGCGAGTACGGGGCTGGGAGGTCGAGTGCATCATTACAACGATCGGATCTCAACTCATATCGCATATTCCGGATTCCACTTTGTCAGCGCGAACCAGTAATCCGAAGGATGCATTGCATGTTGTGATCATTATGACCACGTCCGTGAGGCCGCGGGCCGGCCCGAACTCGGCCAATCCGTGGGTACGCTGAGAGGCCCCGTCGCCGGCAATCGCGCCGCGGGCGGCGAACGGGCCGTCTCCTTCGCCAAACGACGCCGCACTTTCTGTCCGGTCCGTGTGAGCTGGGCCGTCACCGAAGGCGTCAGCCGTCACGGCCAATCGGCCGGTGTCACAATCGCCGGCCGTCACGGGCCGTCACGCGGCCGTCGCGCGACTGAGGCCACCGGCGCGGCGCGTGGACCATCAGCCCCGCGGCGAGGAGTCGGATCACTCGACGGCCGATTGACGGTATATCGAAACCATCGCCTCGCCTCTACCCCTCACTGAGTCAGTGACTCGCTGCCTGATCAACCCACTCACTCACTCGCCCACTCACTGACTCACTGACTGACTGACTGACTCACTCACTCACTCACTCACTCACTCACCCATTCGGTCTTTTCATCCTCTCTCACCCTCTCTGCCCATCTCCCGCTTTATCTCCCCTTCTTTTCTTCCATTACCCTCCAATCAAGACTCACAAACAAGCTCCTCTGTCCCTCCGTGTACCTAATACACGCTAGCCTCAATCCTTTTATCCCATTACGCCTCACTAATACTTTATCCTTTATCACCCGACCCAATCACCGTCCCCTATCCGCTTTTCCTTCACCTCTCCTTCATATCCAGCGTAAGCTCTCTCTCTCTCTCTCTCTCTCTCTCTCTCTCTCTCTCTCTCTCTCTCTCTCTCTCTCTCTCTCTCTCTCTCTCTCTCTCTCTCTCTCTCTCTCTCTCTCTCTCTCTCTCTCTCATTCTCTCATTCTCTCATTCTCTCATTCTCTCATTCTCTCATTCTCTCATTCTCTCTCTCCTCTCTCCTCTCTCCTCTCTCCTCTCTCCTCCCTCTCTCTGTCTCTCTCTCCTCTCTCCTCTCTCTCTCTCTCTCTCTCTGTCTCTGTCTCTCTCTCCTCTCTCTCTCTCTCTGTCTCCCTCTCCTCTCTCTCTGTCTCTCTCTCTCCCTCTCTCTCTCCCCGTCATCTGGCACTTCCTTTCTGACTAATGGAAGGAGCGAATGTCGTGAGGTCCGTGGGTGGAAGAATGGTGCCACGAAACCGCAGCTCGGCGCGGGACGGAGCGCAGCCCCCACACAACCCCCAGCTCCCCGACGGAGTCTTGTGAAGCACTCTCAGACAGAAAGGGAGACAGACTCTCTTTGTCATGACGCGATAAGCTTGAGCACAGTGGAGCTATTTTCTCGCCCACGTTGTACTCTGTGGCGTTGGCCGGTTTTCTCGCGGACAGGGAGGAGCTCGCAGTGCGGTAACACTTTCGAAAGCTGATTGGCGAACTGCACAGGACACTAGCTGAACTAGCCAACATGACACAGTGCATGTGTCTGATATTGTATGAGATGTTACTTAACCTCAATATATGTAGGTATTCTGAAAAGTCAAAAGAATACAAAACAATTTTAAGCGTATATAAATCGTCATGGCTTAGGAATAATAAATGGCTATTGAATATACACTGCCGTCCTCTGGTGGATTTTATTTTTAAGCATTATTATGGGTCATTATAGGGCTTGTAGGCGAACAGCCTATTCGTAAATGTTAATCAAGTTGTTAAGAAAGTGCTATAATCAAACTAAAAATCCTATTATGGAGTGATTTCGTGGATCGATATGGCAAGTGTCGAAGTGAGCAACTGGATGTTTCGAAGCCGGTGTGTGTGAAGCTGCGCGCGTCTGACCTCTGCTGACCCCGTGTGCCCTCAGGCGATCATGGCCGGCGACTACATCCTGTCCGTGGCCTCCACCATGCTGGCCAGGATTAGGAACGATGACGTCACACTAGTTCTATCTCAGGTGAGTGATGACGTCACACCCGCGTCCATCCGGTTGTAACCGGAGCGGTCCGGTTAGTGGCGTACACAGGGGGAGGAGCGTGTTTGTGCGCCTGTCGTGGAGCTCTCAAAGGAGGCCAATTAGTGCGGCATTTGGACCGGCCGCGGCGCCTACGGTAAACAGCGATGTGTATCGATGGGGAGAGGACCGGCCGGGCCGGCTGATCCATGTATCAGCCGACTTACCAGGGCCCGGTCCCTTCTGATCGGGCCCAGTCGCATTCCGGCCAGCACCCTCACTCAGATCCAGATGATTGGGCGAAGGGGAGGGACCCCGGCTTTATCATGTGGGTTTTAGCCCATGTCTAGCTCCGGACTATGACGATGTCAGTCAAAGATTACCTCAGTTGCAACACAGACCTGACCTAGACCTTGATGCACGCCGCAACCTAGTGCACCTGTCCTGACCTGGAGAGCCCGCCCGAAAACCCAGCCCAGCCTTCCCCAGATTCAGGTCCCACTGCAACCACAATCGAATCCGGCGCGTCCCGGTTCGTGCTACAGCCCTTGTTCCAGCCCCTACTCATGGCCCCATTGTGCCCCATCTCCGGCCCCGAACCGTGCCATGACTGAGTGGGCCACAGCCGCCGCGAGATCGGTGTGCCAAACATGTTTTCGTATGCGGTCCGAGCACGCACAGATCCTCCTCCGACGCATACCCGCCACCTCGACCGGACGCGACTGCTCACGACTACGGAGGGACTGTACGAGCTACCCGGAACTAATACAGGCACTCTGGTTGGCACCCATAGATCCAGACTGACAAACTGACATTCTGTCCTTGTTTTCTCACTCTCTCAACGCCCATATCATTCTCGTATCATATTTAGCGTGTGAAATTCCCACAACACTCAAGACTCGAAGACATTATGCCGATCTTCATTTTCGAGATTTCCACACAAATACACTATGCTTCATTTTATCAGCAATCCAAATTGTTGCACATGTATGAGCGGTGTCCCGCCCTAAATGCGTCATTGTCGATGGTTTTCCCCGTAAATGTCACCACTTTAAACCCTCCCCTGTCCTACCATTCTCCGCCGGTAAATTTCAACAGCCACGGCTCGATCGGTCGGTCACAGCAGCTCCACCGCCAGACCGCCGGGCTCTTCGGCCTGACCCACTGGCCCGGCGCCCTCAACGCCACCTCTCGACCTCCGGCGACCTCCGCTGACCTCCCGCTGACCTCCTCCGGGCCGCGGAGAGAGCCGTTCGCCCGGCTCCAGACTTTCGCCGCCGATGACGGAGGCGGCGGCGGCGGCGGTCGCGTTGCGTCGACGCTTGCGTGACCGACCACTGGGGACGCCTTCGGTCGTAATGTCAAGTTCAGGGCGACTTTCTTTGCGGCGCTGACGGGGCAAGATCACCGCGCTGCTGTCGGCGTTCCGGTCCGGATCGGTCGGTACTCGGCAGTTCCGGAGAGAGAGAGGGTCGGGAGGGAGAGAGGGTCGCAGTGCAGAGAGAGTGATTCAGGGTTGACCCGTAGCCCCGGGCGGCTGGGACGAGCCGCGTCCGCCATTGGGGCGATCGGCCTCCCGGATGTGAGTCTCGGAGATGGCTGTCTTGAGGGAACTGGGGCTAGGGATGCGTCAGTAGAGGTGTTACACCTGCTGCGGCGCTCACTAGTGAGATCATATGAACGGTGCAGTGGTGCCCTCAGCTGGCACGAGTGAGTCATGTAACCTCTCCAATTATTACTCGTATGCCAGTTTATCCTTTCCAGCACCTCTCACCCTCGCCTTAGCCAAACCTCACCTCTCTCCCTTCTCTCCTGTCCGTGTGACGTTGCAACGTGTCATGACCCCTCTGTGACGTCACTGCGCGTCATGACCCCTCTCTGTGACGTCACAACGTGTCATGACCCCTATCGGTGACGTGCGAGTCGGTTGTGACCCCTGGGACGCTTCAGTGGGTGGAATGTGGAGCAGGGCCGGGTGGAATGTGGACCAGGGCCGCCGGTGCGGAGTCGGTCGCTCTTCCTAACGGGCCGCCGCCGCCGGCGGCGGGCTCGGCCGACCTGCCTCCTCGGACTGGTGGACGCCGCTGCCGCTGTAACGGGCCCGGCCGGAGCCACCGGGACGGAGACGGGGCGGAGACGGGACGGAGACGGGACAGAGCCAGAGACGGACGGAGATTGATCGAAGGCTGTATCAGAGACGAAGACGGTAGAAACAGGACGGGAGGCTGTCTTTTGGCAATGCTGTAAAACTATGAACTTATCCACAATCTACATGAAGATGTCATCGGTAACGACATACGACGTCCATGTTTGACACGTTCCTTCTGTCTGTTTCAGGTTTTAGCAGATTTAGTGCAGGGAGAGTTTATGCAGCTGGGCTCCAAGGAGAATGAAAACGAGAGGTTCGCCCACTACCTGCGCAAAACGTTCAAGAAAACTGCCAGTCTGATCGCGTATAGTTGCAAAGCGGTAAGTAGCTACGCTTCGGTGGCACGCTTATTAGCTTTGTTGCGTGTTACCTTAAGTGCCAAGCCTCAGTACCTATCTCAACTGAATGATTGTTTGGGTGAATTGAAGAGCTTGTGACTCACGGTATCTCCCTGATCTTTCTAAGCAGGCTGATACAGAGGTCTTTCGTGATGCCTCTTCAATGATGTCATTCAACATAGCGCTTCCATGAAATGAGGGATAATCCATTTGTTTTGCTCGACAGTGTGTGTGATAATACGACGCCTGCGGTTGGGGCGAATTTCTCTGACCCCTATCGTTACCCTACCATTCGCCGCTCGAGTTTCACTCGGCGGCCGTCCCGGTTTCATTACTCATTCTCAATAACAGATATCCTTGGCGAAATGGAAGGACTGTTTTCTTTAAGACTGTTTTTGGATCTTTTTTATTGGGTCCACGAAGGTAATAGCATTCATGAACTGCATTATGGAGCTGCCTACTTATCATACGTGAACGTAAGCCGCTAGGTGGCCTGTTCCTGGTTCTTCTCCCGCCTCTAAGACGTCGCCCGTGTCGCCCCCCAGGTGGCGATCCTAGGTGGTGCTGACGACGAGATCCAGGAGGTGGCCTTCCAGTACGGCAGGAACGTCGGCATGGCGTTCCAGCTGATGGACGACCTGTTGGACTTTGTGTCCTCGTCCAACCTGATGGGCAAGCCGGCGGCGGCTGATCTGCGACTGGGCCTGGCCACGGCGCCCGTTCTGTTCGCATGTGAAAAGGTGAGCTCTCGTACTTTGTATCAGGATGTGCTTATGGGGTAACGGAGCGGACACAGGGCAGATAAAGACGATAACGTATCATTGAGCAACCCTATATTTGCGTTCTCTTTTTCGCTATACGTCCGTGACTCCGTACCGACCACTCAACGGTTTTAAACCGATGACTACGTGGACGTTTTTACTCTGCCGCTCATCGCTCCACCCCTGTCGTAGCTGAGCTGTGCGCTGACAGCTCCACCCCCTTCTCTCGTGTCTCCAGTTCCCGGACCTGAACCCGATGATCATGCGCCGTTTCACCGAGCCCGGTGACGTGGAGAAGGCCTACCGCTGGGTCATGGACTCGGAGGGGCCGCGGCAGACGCGCATGCTGGCCGAGACGCACTGCGCCGAGGCCATCCGGCACATCGGACAGCTGAAGCCGTCGCCCGAGCAGCGCAGTCTGATCCGGCTCACCGACACTGTGCTCAATAGGATGAAGTAGGCGGACGCCGGCCGGCGGCCCGTCCGTCCGACCGACCAGTCGATAGGTGCGCAGCGGCGCGCCAGGACGCGCAGCGTTACCACGGTGACCGGAGCGGCGCGCCAGCCGCCGGCCCGCTGGGGCCGAGCCGGGTGCGTCAGCGAGCGAGCCGCGCGCCTCAGAATGGCCGCGCAGCTGCACCGCGGAGCAGCCCTCTGTCCGGCTAGCTTTAAAGGCCGGCGGCGGGCAGGGCTCGGGCGCGCGCAGTAGCCTGCCGCCCTGCGCGGCACCCGGGCCTCCAAATCAAAACACGGGTGTGACGACGGTGGCGGCGGCGCCCGCAGTCGGCGCCGCCGGTAGAGACTACCCAGAGAGGGACCGCGCGGCCGCCCGCTCGGCCGACCGGCGTCACGAGCAGCAGCGAGTGTAAGAACGTGTGTGTGAGAGTGTGAGAGAATCCGTGAGAGCCTGAGCGCGTTAGACGACCGTTGTTTGTATATTTAAGGTATTCTGCGCCGAATTATGTGGTTGCTAGGCGGAATGTGTGTGTATGTCTGTCTGGCTCAAATAAGCGGATAGAGGCTCGTTCGAACGCTGCGCACGTGCATGGAGAAACGGAGTATAATCCTCAGAAAAACTGCGGCAGAGAGTGAGAGTGTGTCTGTATGTGTGTGTGCGCGCGTGCGAGATATCTATTTAGAGATGAAGAAGGAGCCGTTATTGTACACTGGCTGGCTAAGAGACTGTGGCCGGTCGCTTCCTGCCGCCTCCGCCAGGATTATTTTGTAGCGATGGTTTTTATAGCTGTTCCGAACGCTATTTTACAGTATCTATCGTGCAAGCGCAATGTCTGTCGGGGAGATGGCGTCGTCCTGTACGGACGGTGTCGGCGACGACCGCCTCGCGTCCGAGCGAGCGGTGCAGCCCGCCCGCACCGCGGCCGTCCAGTCTTCCTGTTGGGCCGGGCCTCATGTGATGCGGCCCCCTTTGTTGAGCGTGCCGCGGCGCCGGAGGTGCGGCTCCCCCGCGGGGCTGCGCGCCGGCCGCCGCTGGCCCAGTGCGTGTGTTGACCTTTATTTATTGTTAAGAGGTGTTGCTGTACATAGCCACTCGGTGCGGCCGTGCTCGCGCGCGCGGATAGTTATCGGCCGCGCTGCGATGGCTCCCTCCGCGGCCGTGCGCGCTGGGAGTGAGCCGCTGGCGGCCGTGTGGGCCGCTCGCGGCCGCTCCTTGCTCAATGGGCGCGCCGCAGTCGCTGACGGAGCCATTTCATCCCCTGTAGTGTAGCGGTGGTTTCGGTGGTGGGGTAGGGGTCACTAGCACTGGTTCTATATAGCCTAAGTGCCTTGAGTAATAATAAAATTAACGATTAAAAACTGTTTGTGGGGCAACAGAGGATGGGAGATTAAAGACGACTATTCCGATAAGCACATTTGCCCGAATCAAGGATCTGGCTGCATGACAGGTTTTCAGCATCAGAAGCAGACGAAGTCCAAGATGCCACTCCGAGTTCGTCAATATCTAATGATGGCTCTGGAGGAATCTGAAAATGATCCTCGGTCACACTTGTGACTTGGATGGATGTCGAGCTTAGGTCAATGTCATATAAAACCATACCAATCCTGGCACGAAACTGCCGTCGAGTGGGTCATACTGTATTTAGTGTGGGTCTTACAAGTCAATTGGTTGATATTCCGACCTCGCCTCGCCATCTCAAGTTGATCCGTGATCAGCAGACGTGACGAAAAAACTTCGATGACATCAATGATCAAACGACCGTAGCGACGTCCGGTATAATAATACGTCATGGCGGGATCTAAAATGCAAAATTAAGCGTCTAGCCTTGTGATAAGAGTATGTCAGAATATGATTCATGAATTTCCTAGTCCTTCTCTTACGTCTTGCACACTGCACAGCCACAGGCGCATATCAAAATGTGCATGTGTGTATTTCCAGTGGGATAATATTTTTACCTTCGATTTCTGCTACTTCCCTTCATATGGAAGCGAAGGCGTTTCATACGCAGCAGATTCACTACTGGCGCAGCATAATGTGGAATTTTTAGGGAATTTTGCAAACGCTCATAACTCATTTGCGTGCTCTTCAGGTCGAGGTGGGTAAATAGATTCATTCTTCATTGTTGCACCATAATTTAAAAATTACAACAAATTAAGTTCATTCATTCATTCATAATTAAGCTCATATTTCATATCTAACATTATTTTAAAGGGACCCTCCCACCTTAACATTAGATTTGAGTTGAGATAGCCAAAATGGGGTCCCTGGCTCACAATTACCGGTTTTGGCACTCACAACATCGAGAAATGTCTTAAATCGGAAATATTGAATTTCAAAATTGCAGCATTTTGATTCAGAGGGGCTAATGCTTAGGAATACCCCTCTGAATGTGTAACGTCAGCACAAATATCTACCTAACGATTTGTAAATGTTTGACTAAAACGTTTTGTAGCACGCGGTGGTATATGCTATTTGCGCGCAACATCTGCCGCAAACGCCGCACTTCTAAAATAAAGTCGCTAGAAACAGCAGAGATCCCAAAAAAGTAAACAAAAGTAAAAGTCTAATATCTTGAAAACCGGTGAATATTTTTCGGTGAAATTTGGTAGATATTCGTTTTCGCTCTTTCTGAACCGAGCGACATCACTTTCATGCCAATTCATAAACTTTTTTGAAGGTGGGAGGATCCCATTAACAGTACGTCGTACAATTTATTCTAGAGGGATTACTAGGTCGAGCTATGGTGTACCTAGGTAGCAGAGTTTTCCGCAGCTGATCACTGTGTCTTTTGTCAGCCTATGTCATTTTCAAGGATTATGTTGTGCTAGCACAACAAGTTAGCACCAAGCACAATGTCATTCTACTAGCCCACACTGCTCCAGTCCATGGCAAATCCACAGAATGGTAAATCCATGCATTGTACCATGCACCAACGTCCTGCTGAGAGCCTCTACTCCAGACCCTGGTCCACAGACCACAACAATGCGATTTTGTCAGCTGCCATGTTTTGCAGTCTGAGTCTGCATCAGCATGATAAGGCTCATGTCAATGGATATGCCTGAAAATTAATTGATATTTGGCAGTGATAATCTGAGTAAATATGGTAGGTTTTCTTGAATGTGCCAATTTCACATAAGGTGAATTTTGGCAAGTTTGCTTTGCCTAAAGGAAATGAGTAAATATGTGATTCGTAGTATTGTGATCTGACATTTTAGAAGCTGGCCAACTAATTTCACTTAGAAATTGCAGGTATTCTTGTCCTTTCTTTATATCATTGTTTCAATGAAAACATTCCTTCCATGGCAATATCCAATTCCATTTCTCACACCCTCCAGTCACTTGTGACGTAACACTGCCACCCTAGTCTATCTCAGACCCTTTTGTTTGTTTGTTTGTTTTGTTGGGTTAGGCCCTTTCGGTCGACAAGACCATTGCAGAGCCGGAAGGATGATAGGAATTATGGGGAGACATTGGTCTGGGCAGGCACCCTAGTGAGTCGCCGGGGCTGAGCCCGTCCAGAGGACAGGCCACCCAGTCCCAAGGCACTCACTGCACCCGGCTACGGGGTGCGCTCCCTCGGGAGCAGCGGTGCCACTCCAAGGGAGCAGCCCGCATGAGATAAAGTTGCCTGTCCAGCCCGGAGGTGGTTGTGGCGTGGAGGAGAAGGATTTCAGTATCCTGAGGATAGATGCACGGATAGGTCCATCTCAGACCCCTCTCCTCCCTCTCTCCTTCAATAGCAGGATGGTGGACCTGTTGCGCGGCTCGGCGGCGGCACGCGGCCTGGCCGGCCGCACACAGGGCGCCCTCCGCTCGCGGCTGCGCTCCATGGTGGACGGCAGTGACCGGCTGATCCAGGGCCTCTCCAGCAAACTGGAGGACGGAGGAGACCGGCTCATGACGCGTCTGGAGACGGCGCTGAGCCTCAGCAGCGGCGCAGACAGCGACGCCAGCGGCGCCACCGTCCGACGCACCGGTCAGAGACGCCGGCAATTTTCATACCATACCTAACTACCTGCGGTGGAAGTTATTTTTATCGACTGTGTCTCGTCTCAGAGGGTTATCGGAGGCGGCAATGGTGCTGAGTCTAATCATAATGATACTCTTTGACGTGACGCTTTCTTTTTAAAGCAGTAAAACACCCAAGTTAAGTCAATATACTCCAGGGTATTGATCCTGCGCGCCGTAATCGTTGCCTTATAGTGCCCTGTAAGCGTCTGAAGCATGCCGAGTGTAATGTGTAGGTATCGTAGAAAATATATTTTCATTCATTAGAAAAGTCAATATGCTCGACTAAAAATAGGATGCAATGCACGACTTGTTTAGAGCTAGCAACATGTTGAGATTAGTAAAGTAATCTTGTTTGAGAGTGATGCTCCTTTGTTTGCGTTCGCACATAAAGCTATGTATCCAACGTACTCTCTTCTTTTCCATCCCCGCAGACGACAGCGGCGACTCGGACGCGGCCGCCGACGGCCTGCTGACGGCTGGGGACGGACACCTGCTCTCGGCTGGGGACGGACCCAGCTCGGCCTGCTCCCGGGAGAGTCTGGCGAGCAGTGGCTCGCGCTGGTCGGCGGACCGACCTCTGCGCGCCACCGGGCCTGACCCCTACGACAAGCTGCGCACGCGCTGCTCCGGTAAGAAGACGGGCAGCGAACGAGAGTGAATAACGATATTTGTGTCACTGAACTACTAATTCGAACTTTGAGAACTTAGTGTACCTGAACTCTTCTTCGAAGTCATTTTTCCTTGTCCCCTGCTGTCTGTTCAGAATTTTCTCATGATTGCGTTGATTTATGTAATTCCAGTAGCATCACCCTGAGATATAATTAACGCATTATCAGATACACACAAGACTGAAGACCGAATCATCGATGTATAAAAGTTAGGTCTTGAACCGGACGCATAGTATTTTGACAGCCGTTCTATCAGTACCTAACATTGAATCATCTTCATTAGGACGGCTCACAGTGGCTGGAGAATGATGGCTGATTCTCTTTCATTCAGGGTATCTCCGGACTTCATTGACAAAAGTCGTTACCGCATAACGGTCCTGCTGTCGACTCGCCCTCTGTCTCAGCGGACAAAAGATCCATAAGTGCAGTGTTCGGTGTAGATAGTCCTGACATCTGACGGTGTGTTGGTGCTGCTATCTAGCCGAAAAGAAACCCAGACAGTACATTGTTTGTCGCAGCTGCTGCCTTGTGCTGCGCCGGCAATACCAGGGATTCACTTGTCATACACGTTGTTATTGATTTATTTTTAAACGGTCGAAATTGTAAACTCATGTCTTCCCCGTTTACACTTACGATGGCCTGAACTCTGAACTGTGTCCAGCCTGGTAGATTCCAAAGTAATTGTGCATGGGCGGATCTAGGGGAACTTTTTGGGGGGGGTCACAAGTCGGCCGACATGCCGGGTCTGATAGATGAATTCTGACGACCGGGGGGGGGGGGGGGGTAGGGAGCGAGTATCTCGAGATCAAATGACATTTGATCTTCGTCGTTTCTAAGATGAAGTTTTATCATCGTAAGTCACTCGACTCAGTAGTTTTAGTTAGTGAAACCCACCTATACAGGGGCGTCGCCACGGGAATTTTGTACTGGGGGGGGGGGGGCGGATTAACCGACTTAAAAACCCAGAAGTAGACATAGTTACCTCACTTTTAGCCTAATGCATTAGGCAAAAAAAACATTTGTCAAAACACAGCTCTAAAACACAAATATTACAACCCTTTTAGCATGCTAGTACAAGCCGGAGTTCCTTCACAGTACACATATGAATTCCGACTCAATTTGACACGGTTGGTTTACATTCACGATCTCTCTTATTGATTGGTGTATGAATCGGCGGCGCGAAGCGCGGAGAAAATTTGCAAAAGCATTTGTCAAAACACAGCTCCAAAACACAAATTTTACCACCCTTTTAGCATGGCAGTACAAGCCGGAGTTCCTTCACAGTACACATATAAATTCTGATTGAATTTGACACGGTTGGTTGGTGTAATTACAGGGTGTCCCAAAAATAATGTCACACCTGTCCAGCGTCAATTGCATGAAAATAACAAACATGAGAGGTGCGCTTTTCTTACATATGTATCCCACCTTCTCCCTGATACGGGCAAGGATATGTTCCGGAACATCAGACATCAACATGTCCAGCTTCTGTGGACTGATCTTGGACCAGACAGATCGAACGTTCCTGGTCAGCGTGCCTTCAGATTATTCTGGTGCCATTTTGATCACCTCTTACCGGGCGATCGCCCTAAGATTTTCTATCGGCGACAGGTCGGGACTATTTCCCGGTCATTTGTCCTTCTCCCAGAATGCTGGGAAGTTCGATCTGCACCAGTCCTGCGTCGTTCTAGCTCGATGAGCCGGGACCCCGACCTGTTGAAAGATGGCCCTGGACATGTTCAGCAGAGGTTTTCGGCTGGAAACGTGACTTGGTGGGCTTCAGCTTTAGAAGCAGCCTCCAGTACCGATGAATTGTCAACTTGGAGACTGGATGACTGTTAGCAATCAGCCCCCTTGCCAGATTCCTTGTGGATAAGCCCGTATTTAGCTCCGCAGTTCGCGATGTCGAGCTGCACTACCCGGCTGGCGGAAGTCTTCCTGCCGCGACCTAGCTTGTTCCCAGACGTCTATCCGCTTCTGTCGCAAGACAACCAGCGCCAAATCGTGCGGCAACTCGTGCCCAGTGCCTCGGCTACCAGGCCGTGGGTCATTCCGCCGCCAACCATGTCGACTGCCCCGCTGCGGGACGATTTGCTCTGCAGTTTTGCCATCCTGGACACATGGTCCGCGCGCGCTGGGTACTGCCCCGAAAATGACCTCCGTCCACCCCTTGACCGGTCAGGGTCACAAAAATTTGAAGGTCACGTGACTAGAATGTAGCCAATATGGTCTGGGAGCCAGTAACGGCGAAATTATATTGATATTGCGCCGTAGAAGGCAAAATAAAGGTTGTGAGAGGGTGTGACATTAATTTTGGGACACCCTGTACAGTCACGATTTCGTATTGACCTGTACGTACATGAATCGGCGGCGCGAAGCGCCGCGAAAAATTTGCAAAAACATTTGTCAGAACACAGGGTGGTCTCCTCTCTAGAAAGGACCACCTCTCTACTGCGGGCCTCCTCTTTTCACAGGGCCTCTCAACTACAGAAGGCCTCCTCTCTACAGAGGGCTTCCTCTCTACTGAGGGTCTCTCCCTTTCAGAGTGGTGTGTGGCCGAAATCCGTTGAGTTTTTAATTTTGGGTATAGGTAGGGGCACCAGGAATTAAATTCATGACCATCCCCTTGGAGTTTTCCTGGATCATCCCCTGGTGCTCGCACGGTTGAGACAAAAACGAGTAAGATTCTGGCCTTCAATACGCCTTTTCACGCAACACGATCCAGAAAAACAAAGGTATTAGCTCATAAGTGTTTGACAGGTGATTTCAGGGGCGTAACTTTGTATACTTTTGAGGGTGCAGTTGCACCCCCAAAGTTGAATTATGCACCCTCAATGTTTATGTTGCACCCCCAATGTGTCATCCCTTTATTGGCACTAAGAATTATAAAATACGCAAAATTCTTTGTTTCAAATACAGAGCAAGAATATTCAATGTAAAATGGTGAAATAAAACAAGTGCACTCATGATATTTTGTCAGTAGTTATGCACGACTGGAAAGACTGGATCCGCGCGAATAATGTGAGCTGACATACGCCGAATTTCGATTCTGGCCAAACATGGTCTCGAGTAATAGATAACAGGTTAAAGGTCATTTAGGTAGGGTCATATGATTTTTAAGGGTGTGTGTAAAATTTAGTAACTCGAGGATACTAAAAGTTTCGTCGCGATCAGCCGCTTTTTGCGCTAGTTATTCGCGAAAAACTGAGTAGGGTCGATCCGACCCCCCCCCCCTCCCTACAAGGGCGAGGGTTAAAGTTTCGAAAGAACCTACCCTACTCGTCGAGCACTGTCCATCTTCGCTCGCTCGTTATGTATGTACATATGTAAATTTGTACATGCTCCTTAGGAGGCCCCTGCGAACTGGAGGCCCCGCCACTTGGAGGCCCCTTCCCTAGTTTGCACCCCCAATGTCGTTTCCAAAGTTACACCTATGGGTGATTTTGAGCATGCAAGACGGCGTCTATAACGCATTTAGGTCTTCGGCTTTTGGGGGGGGTCAAATGACCCTCTCAGACCTTTTGGGGGGGGTCATGACCCCGTGGACCCCCCCCAGGATCCGCCACTGTAATTGTGCCTTTGTTTAGCTGGGTATCTTCCTTCACTTTTTGTCTCGCTATTATCATATACGTATAGCGCTATCAAACAACACGTATGTGCTGTTGTTTGACAGACGTTGCGTCGACCTCGGAGTCGGCTAGCGAAGGGGATGGCTACGGACCCAGTACAAGTCTGGAGCTGTCAGAGGACAAGCGTCGACCTTGGCCAACGTCAGGTAAGGACGGGGTAACGTGGAGGCGCCTTCGGGTAACGACGGGGTGACGTGTGGGCAACGTCAGTTGAGTTGAGGACGGGGTAACACTTGGCTATCGTTAGACGAGGAAGCATTATAAATTTATAACGTTAAGGGCAGACGTCACGGGAGAATAGGCTCACATGCGGAGTGAAAGTGTGTCTCAGGTGACAGGTTAGTCAAATTCAAAACAAAATTGATGAGAGCAGTCTTCAGAGTGGTTTGGGTGGAATGGCAAGACAAAACTTGGCCAATGTCTTGAGCTTGCCTGCTCTACTCGTGTGACGGGGGTGGATCCATGTCGGCTCGGAAGACTTACTCACCTTCTTGTGTGAGTAAACCATTTGATTGATTCTGTGTGGAGACGGGGAGCTAGGTATCGAACAAGTCGTCATAAACGAAAGACACATTGTGGTCCTGTTCTCGCACAAGTATGTGTTTCAGAGACCTTCTGCATTGCACTTACTATCTTGCGATGGGTAGGTACCCGAAATGTCATCACCGATTGCACTGTTCGAAAAAAACGAAGCATTCCTTTTTATTTGATGCTGATTTTTTTATGCGCATAATCGGAAGGGCGACGCGTCTGTCACGTCTGATCACGGTGGTATTCGTCTAAAGTCATCCGACCCGCCGAATGCTATTGCACTGCCGTGCTGTCGCGCTATCCCTCCCCCCCCCCCGTAACGTCGGTGCAGCGGCCCGGCGCCGGTGGCGGCCCGGCCAGCTGACGCCATGTGCCGCCAGTCTGCCTATCGTCCGCCGCCAGCGTGCGTGATAGCGACTATCAGCTCAGCGCCAACCGCCGGGCGGGGGCGCGGTGGGCGGTACACACTGCCATGTGCTGCGTGGGAACCGTGCAGTAAGCGCCGGGGGACCGTCCATTAATCGCCCGAGAACCGTCTGGGAACCATCCGCCGTGGAACCGTTCAGAAACCTCCCGGGAACCGTCGGTGGTGGTTCAGCCAGTCTGGTGGCCAGACAGTGGGGATTAGCGGATCATTTGGTGGTTAAGTGGTGACTAAAGGCACTGCAGTTCCTTAAACAGTGTCTATCTGGCGTATGCCAGGCGATATCACCATGTCTGGAGCGGATGTGGGTGACGTTAAAAAAGGTAAGAGTGGCTATAGGGTTGAGTTCGCTTGTTGCTTGTGAAAAATCAATTATGTGTGAGTATTGAGGTTTATCGAGAATTACTTCGCTTTTATGCTACTCTGTTAAATTATATTAGCTGTACCTTGTTTGCAATTAGTGTCGTTCTCTGCTTCAGGGTTGGCATTTTTGCCGGCAAAAACTAGTTTATGCCATTTGCCAGTTTAAAACGGTTTTAACCGGCAAAAAGTGGCAAAAACTGGCAAAAACTCAGAAATATCACAATGCTATGCCTAGACATGATACTGAACAGGAAACATTTTAAGGAGAATTCGGTGAAAGCTTTATGCTTTCAAACAGAAGTGACATTGACCATTGAAATGTTTCATACCTAACTCAGAAACATTTTCATGGGCTATCCATAAGGAGCCAGTAAGATGCCTTTTGGGGGTGACAAATGAGCCAGTGCAAGGGTGACTGGGTGAGTCCTGCACAATCAGAAGTGCGAAGAGGTATCTGCCACTGATATGCGCACGGCACCGCATGACACCCTACTTACCGTGGCCGCCTTGTCCCACTCTCCCCTACATGGAAAAACATTCCGTTGTGGATGTCTACCGACATGCATAGACATTTTAAGCAGGGGTAAGTAATGAGGCAACTTCAGAATGTTTAGTGCATCTATATAACTACCAGAAATGCATTTGTACATTTCAAATCCATTCCTAACTAGAAAAGTTGTAGGTTTGGCCATCTGAGTTTTAGCCAGTTTTTGCCAGTTCTTGCCACCAGGGTTTCTGCCAGCCGGTTTAAACCGGTTAAAACCACTGGCAAAAACCAGTTTTTGCCACCCCCTGCCAACCCTGCTCTGCATATTGCTAGCCCATAAATTTGAAGTATGTTTCGTCAAGCCGCAAGCCCATTGGTCCGAAATACTTTTCTATTTATAGCGATGCTTGATCGCACTTGTTTTCAACTCACTTTACAGTTCAGTTGCAACCTAGCAATCAGCGTAACTGGGTGGTATTTTAGGAAATGTTATTTTTGGGCCGCGCTATTGAAACTCAAATGAACGCGGCATCAAATAGCGTGATGTCAATGGAATTATGAAGTGGCCGCCTGGTCACTCTGATCACCGAGGGCGGACCAGCACAACGCACAACGTTCCCTATCCTTCGTTATTTATGGAATATCTGAGTGCGGTTTACGATTGGACACGTTTCATACTAAGAATCACGTGGCGACGCATAAGGTTGGTAGCGCTATTGCTCCCTCCTCCACTCCGGACTTATTGCTATAAGAATAGCTCACCGAATTACAGTCGCATTCGCATTTGACATTCGTCAGTCTGCCCACATGTAGGCAGGCAGGCTGGTGCGGCTGTGATTTACTAGAATCGGTATATTTAGTGCAATTGTGTAAATTGCATATTGATTCGTTGGTTTCTTTCTGAGGCAGAGGTGATGTAGGTATTGAAAACCCACAGCTGCAGCCTCAATATTATCGGACGAATAAACATAATGTAGCATTCCTCAATATCTGCAGGCATAGCGTTGGTATTTGTGATGTTTTTCCCCACGCTTTCAGCAAATCACAATATGACAAGGCGGACAAGCAATATGTAGGCTCATGTGTTCTAATTTGGTCGGCCCAGACTTGGTTCGTTGACTATTTTATTGATGGTTGACTTGTTAGCTATTACTTACTATCTTGTCAAGTATTTGATCGCTGCTCATTGCTCAATGAGCAGTGTAAATGATGAGCAGTGCTCATCATTTTAAACGTATCTTAGCACCACGCATCTGAAGCTCGTACCTATATGATCTGTAATAATCGCAGCAGGTGCTAATGCAATGGCGCAGCTTTACACTTACAAATGCGCTGTCTTTAGTAACTTCTTACTGGAATTATTATATACTTTGACGCTTTAACTGCTTTATGATTTAAACCCTTTACAATTTTAACTCGATTTCCTCGTCCCATACTTCTATCAAAGTGAGTGGCCGCCGTAGCGAGCTCCACTCGCTGAAATTTAATGTCCACCGTTGATATGTTCGTTCAATGTGTTCGTGTGATGTGTTCGTTGATGTTTGTTTCTCACAATAATGCTGACATGATATGACCTTTGTTTGTACGTTAAATTGTACATTTGGGTCGCAGCTCGACGATTTTTATACAAACAATGCCGTGGGGAGCATTGCTACTTCCCTACCATACTTTGACGCATCTAAGGTCCTGCCATCGAAAACGCTTCCTGTCTGAGCTCTTTCGTGACACTACCTTACCATGGGTACGGCGTGGATTAATCGTGACGTGCACACATCACCTTGCCAACCCACCCAGCAGCCTACCAAGCGTTCTAAACCACCCACACTCCTCTAACCCGTCGTACAGCGCACGGTCCTTGATCTTGACCTTGACCTGACCTCTGTGACCGTCGGCAGACTCGGAGGGTTCGCTGCGTTCCGTGTCCTCCGACCTGAGCGGTGAGAGCGGTGCCGACTCCGACCCGGCCACTGCCGAGAGCCGCGCCTACATACGGCAGTTTGTCGACCGGCTGTTCAGCAGCTCGGCCGATATATCGCTGGAAGAGAAGGCCCGCTTCGGGGAACTGATGCAGGTGAGGTCGGGTCGAGATGGGTTGGAATTTGCACTTTGAGGGCCACTGCTATTCACCAGCTTCTGTGGATCGTGTGTCGAGGAAACATCATCTGGTTGAATAATAACTGGTAACTTTGAAGCATTTTATTGGATGGTTAATATAGTGGACTTTTATCACAACGCTTTCGGTTAGTTGCTTGTAATTAAATGTAAAAATGGATGAATTATTAATTGAAGTAGCTCATTTCACAATAAGCCATGAGCAATTGGCTATGGCATGATGGTAATTGGTGTAATGGTAGATATCCGTTTTCGTGTGATGGCATTGATTCTACAAAATTCATCGTGACCCAGCCCGGACCGTGGTTCGCTCTATTGGCGATGTAACCTTGACCTGACCTGCCCCTCCGCTCAGACGGAGTCTGGTCGGGCGTGGTTTGCGCGCCTGGTGAACCACCAGCGCGGTCGGCACCGGTGTGTGCCAGAATCCACCTTCTATTCCCTGGTGCAGTACTTTGCACTGGCCCTGTTCGAATGTGGTCAGGCGGAGGACTACGCGCCCGCCAAGTCGCTCATGAACATGTGCTTTACGTTCTATCATAAAGGTATGTGGTTTGTTTTACATTTACGATCGGGACATTTTTCTTTGTGGGACGTCCCGTCAGTGTGGCATCGTATTTCAGAAGAAGTTACGAAAGTTTTCTTAGTGTCAACAGAGATTGTGCTTATGTTGTTATTAGTTAGTCACATTCGACTGTTTACAGCCTTTAAAGGGGGGGGGGGGGGGTTCTTGATCCAGCAGAGCACAATTATATATGCAAGGCTGATATTTGTGCTGTTTATTATACGAGGTTATAGGGTGCTTTGTTTAAATGAACGGGAGCTTCATTGAGGTATAGCGTGGTAGTCCGTCGCAGGTGTCGCTGTTGTACTTACACTCACTCATTGTCTCATTGTTACACTCACCAACTGTTTGTGAGCGATCGGCAAGCGTGAGAACTAAATAAAAAGGTCACATGGTTCCCTTGATTAGTCGATTCCCAATATGTGACGTTAGTGCCCTTCATGTGACGTGTTGTGTGGCGTGACCGTTTCGATGCCGCTGTTGTTGCATTGTTTTTTTTCTATTGTGTTGTGGTGTTATGTGACCTGTTGGCATGTTACTGACCCCTCCGCCTCCGTGTGACGAGAACGCCCCTCCGCCTGATATTTTGTTGTGTGACGTGACGTTGATGTAATCTTCGTTATGCTTGATACTGTGACCTTGCGTTGATGTGACCTTGATATAATCCCTCTTTATGACTGAATTAGTGTGACGTGCTGTGTAACCTTGCGTTGATGTGACGCGGTGTTTCTGCTGTCACCTGACGTGCTGTCGTTCCGCCGCCGCAGTGGGCTCGGACCCGAGTCAGAAGCAGTACCTGTACGAGCTGCTGGGACAACAGCCCATCTGGCGCAGTGTGCGCTTCTGGAACGCCGCCTTCTTCGACGCCCTGCAGGTCAGTAAAGGATCGGAAAGTGCGGGATAAAATGTCCTTAGTGGTGGTTGCACCACAAAACGTCTATAAACAAAGATCACTTGAGAAGGGGGGGGGAGGCGGCTTGAGGCCTGATGGTCATTCCGAAACAGTGATGTTTTGAAGTTAGTTAATTTTTCATGGTCACTGCGCAGAGCTGAGAGAAGTTCGGCCATTTTATCTTTTGTTCACTCTGTTTCATTTCGCTTCAAGTCAGTTCAATATTAAGACCTGCATCCGCCGTTTCTGCCGGCTGGTAATAATAGATTGCTGTTTGCCGGTGCTGGATGCAAAACAAGACCTTTGATCACCTTCGATGCATGTGTGCTGGCTCATCGAGGCCCTCTTTGACATGACTCTGCCCTTCATGATAAACCCGCTTGAACCAGAATATCTAAACAAACATTTCCTTACACAACCTGATCTTCCTTGACCTGACCTGACCTGACCTGACAGACGGAGCGCTCCCACCGGCCGGTGCCGACGCGGCAGCAGCTGGCCGACGGTGACGTCACCGGACCGGCCGATGACGTCAGTTACCAACAGAACATCACCTTCGGCCAGCTGGGGTCAGTGTGTGACCTGACCGGCCTCCGTCCGCGCCGCCGCGGTGGCGCCGCCCGACATTTCATACGTGTAATGAGAACATTCCGGGCATTTCAGAGCGGCCGGAATTCATATGAACGCACCGACAAAGTGCGCCTTTCCGAGAGCTGGCCGCCCTCATTGGTCCATATTGTAATCTCGTATCGCAACCTACAACGTGTTTTCTGCTGGAGTGCGTCAGTTTGGCTTCACCTCTGTGTTTGGCTATAACTCATATTGTGCCGATATCGATCTATGTATGGTTATGAAAATGCGTGTTCTTGATATTTTAAGTAAATATTATCTTCATGGCTTCCGTGTATGCTGTAAACCATAAAGTCAATTAGCAGCTGTGTGCTTACCGTGATTGCTGACCTCTCGTTGGACTAGTGTCATGGTGGATCTAACGCGTGTGTTTAATCTTCACAGCACGTTCACACACAACATGTTCTCGTTGGGCCTGCCTCGTGAGCTCTGTCTCGAGTTTCTGAGGAAGCAGAGCGCCATCGCCAATCTCAGGGAAGGTGAGAACGAATTACAGTTGCGTGCTGGCAATGTCTCACCACATCACAGCACGGCTCAGTGGTAGGTGCTGAGCGAACTGTTGTCATTGTTTAGTGTGGGCACTGCTCACGTGAATCCCTGTGGCTTATTGCTCTGTGTATCTCATTTCAAGTGGTATGGTGATGCATACAAACTAGCACAGTTTGTGCTTTAAACTAACCTGTTGGCGTGATGTATTCATGCAACATATTCAACGTAACGTATACATTATTCAGCATATGTAACCGACTTAAATTGTTGGCTGAACGTTAGCCATAAAAGCACATAAATGACTATGGATTACTCGACTCGTACAGATAATGGATAAGATCAAACGGAATCCTCTGTCGGCTTTTTGTTCTATTTCCACTTATTTTAATGCACTACCTACCGCCTCAGAACGAAAAGGTATATTTATTTAACCATTCTAATTTCTAACCCAACTCGACGTCATTTATCCAGTCGAAACTTTGAAGTCCATTACCTGGCTCCAACTTTAGAAAACCCACTTCCCGTCTAGGCAGGTGACATCTATGAACCATTCATAAACATCGAATAGATATGCGCGCCTGACCTATGCTCGCCCCCAATCGTACCTTTCCACCCACAAGTCTACCTGTCCGTTTCAGACCAGCTGCAACTTCTCCGAGACAATATAGACACCATGTACGACGGGAGTGCACGGCTGATCACTACCGGGAAACCCTGAGGCTTCCGCAGCACCGAGCTGGTACTCAGTGACCCCACCGAACCGCTGTGGAGTCGCGAAGTTCGTCACTGCGATCGGAAGCGGCCGCATATGGTGATACAGCAGCTAGTCGGGGTAAGCCCCCACTCGTCTGTCGTTCGTGGTCGTTTGTGAGACTGCGCGGGTTTTCCGAGAGTGTGGGGTGGGTAAGAGCCAGGAGACGGCAGCAATATGAAGTGCATATGTGGAAAGGAAGTCTAGGTCCGTCCGGACTGCCCAGGTTGTCTGTAGATGGGACTCTGCTGATGGGCGCTATAAGGAGCATGGACACATGTTGAGCTATTTAACCTTCACCTTTATAGCAGGAGTCACTAACGTGCACTCGGCAGGCAGGGATGCTTGTAGAGGAGTGTAAGGGGCTTCTTAACGGATATTTTTCTCTACCTTTGCGTAGATATTTTGGGCAAATGTCTGGTTCTCAGACATGTAATATCTATTTCCTATTATGGGAAGAAATGTCTATGAAAGTCCAATAATGGACTAGCTTAATTTTTTTTTTAGGAGCACCAACATTTTGATTTGATAGATCGAACAGGGGAAATCGTCGAACGAAAAATGACTCAGTTCTTCTTCTCACTTTCCTTTCGGCGTCTGCATGCTGTAGACGAAGCTTAGATAACGGTAAAAATAACGTCTTCTAGTCGATTCACTGCCTTGTAGATGCATACTGCCGTTCTTCACGCCACGAAGTGTAGTGACTAGGCCGGGGTGATGCTGCAGTTTCATGCGTTTATAACGTCAGAGATCTTTCAACTTCTTTGTGCTATTCCTGTTCGAGATGATCGTTAGCGAAACCCGCTTCGTATGAAGCTTTCCGGGTATGAATCCCGCATCGAATGGGCACACACAGCGATGTTGTATACTGGATCCCCTGTGGACTATGCCAGCAGCCAGTCTGCTCGGTATGACAATTGTTTCCTCTGTCGCATCTCTGCGTGAAAATAGTGTTTTGAGGTAGGTTAGGTCTGCCTCGTAGTCTTTTCTTGGAGTGTTTTTTTTTCTCTTTCTTGGGTTTTCATCATTGTTACTTTGTTTTGCATGATATTGTGCTTCGTTAACTCGCATTTTGCTTTGTTTTCTATGGTGTCTAGCTTTTTTTGTTATGTTGATAAGGGGCGAACGAAAGGATTGCGAATTTCCATAGATGACTGTCATGGGCTTGTCCTTCTCTGTAATATGTATCACTGGTGCTCCCTCGATGCGCTATCTTAATAAGTCACACGCATTTCCACCGGTTCAATAGGACGGACAGGTTCCGCATATGAGCAATAATTACCCCAGTTCAAAGCAGCCTGCGGTCGTGAGATGCCTTAATTAACGCTGCGTAGATGGCAACTCGTATTCACTGCGCCACATCTCCCCCCGCTGAGCTTTTGTGGTTTCCGTGGCATTCAGTGCGTCGTGCGCATTCCGGAAAAATTGGGATTCTCTTCAGCGCGCGACGCTCCTTTTATGTACACTTTCATGTGCCTGGTGCGTCGTTGGTGAAGGATATTTTTATCATCGGCGTGCTGTCTTTCCAAAGTTTAATTCACCTGCGATCAACGCTACACTGAACTTCCGGCCTGTTAGTATCGCAATCTCTCTGTACTCAAGCTCTTTGCTGCGTTAAACCAATATGCACGCATGTTTGGAAACAGTAAGCAATAACAGGCAGGGAGGAGCGTACTGCGAATGAAATCATCGCCTGGCTGTTTCTCGTATTCCAGTAGACTCGGTGCTCTGGGCGGTGGCCCGAGCTGTTTCGGGTGACGTGAGCTCACGCAGATACGTGATCTAACCGTATGTGATACCGTGCGTGTGCTGGGTAGTGCGGGAACGGGACGGGACTCGTGACACGTGTGTGCATCCCTGTAAGGACGGGGAGGCTGGTGTGGTGGGTACATCTCTATATTGGCCAGTCCAGTGTCCATTCCATAGAATGGAGGATGAGTGTTAGAAAGGAGTGTTGCTCTCTGATGACGTTGTTAATGGGTGTAAAGCTTGAAAAGTGTACTGTGTTATTTATTATGCTGCTTGGTATTGCACCAAGCTTCAACGCCGCTGCTGGTATTGTTGATATATTATGAAATGCTAACATGCAAACTGGATTGCCTCATGCATTTGGTTCATTTCTGTGCATCCGCACCGTCAGACGTGCGAAGTTTGGAAATAAATCGTTCCCAGGAGTGAACTTAATCAGAGAGCTGTGAGGAAGCCAAGTGCGCGCGAGATGTACAGCTCATGTCTGGCTGACAAATGCGGCCGGCGTATGGCCTGACTGCGCGACCCCGGCTGGCAGCGGCAGGGCGGGGCGGGGCGGGGCGGGTGGCTACGGCGGATGTATATTGTCTCATCACAGGTCGGGGCGAGCAGCTTATCCAGTGGTATGGTAGTATGTCAGGGCGACATCCTAGTCGGCAGTATACGGTTTAATTACAGGTCAGGATGGGAATCTTTAGCTATATCAGGTCAAGTCAGGGTCCTTGACTCCTTAGCGACAGCACCGGCATACAGGTTACGGCAGTACCTCAGACGACTGCGCTGGTGTGCTACCTGGGTGTTGTCAAACTCCGCAGATTAACACGTAATTAAATGATAGTGCGGCAGTTTGACGAATGCTTTACGCCGGCACCTGTGTTCATTATTCACTGAGAGTTAGACTGTCCCGCGAGCACAGGTGTCTTGCGGGTTAGCCTAACCACTCAGGAAGTCTGCCGCCCGGCGTGAACTCTGAACGGTAAACTCGGTACAGCACTCGCCGAGTCGCGACCGGGCTCAGATTGACTGAGTGATCTATGAAAACACGTGGAACGTATCTTTGGTTGACTGGAGTGAGCATCAAGCTTTGTTTCAGGTTTTCGCGTCATCCCATTCCGATGAGATGGGAATAATAGATGCTGGCGTTGAGTCGTCTCTTTCTGCCCCGAATGCCTACAGTGCACTGCTGCAGTGCTGATGTGCTCCTAGTGACAATTGCGTGTCTGGAACTTTCGCTGCTAGTTAATGGTAGAACATTTGTTCCATAGTTAGCTTGGGTAATAGGTCTAAGCTGAATAAAGCATAGGTATATTCGCAGATATGCTCCAACTTCACAACAGTGATGTGTCATGGCTTAGTAAATGTTCCTCTCCGCGGTCGACGATTGAAATAGGTCATGCCGCTTGGCACTCTAACCTTTTTGAAATGGTTCTTAAATTGTATGCTTGATACCATTTCAATTGCGTCACCAACGACCCAGCAAACGTGCATCCTTGTTGCGTAGGTACGTCTCGTCCCGTTTCCCTGCATGCCGATGTCTATAGCACTTATATTGTGACTTGCCCTGGCAAACGCCCCATCCCTCATACTACTTTACAAAGGGATCCCCAATAGAAACGGAAGGAGATCCCTTTTTGGACTATGACGGTGACCACTGCACGCGTCGAAGCGTGCGATGACTGAATCAGCAACGAAGTGATCAAAGCGTATAACGGATTTCGCTGATCAAAGTGTACGGGGACCCGCAGTTGCTATTGTACACGAACCCCAAGTCTAACCGTCTGTCCTGTCCAGTAACAACCGATAACATTGATATCGACTGCTGGTCCCTGTACAAGAGCAGCTGAGGTTTCCTGTGAGTACCCTCTGACAGCTTATCGTTGTTCCCTGTGAGGGTGCTGGGACAATTTACTCAGGGTCGCTGTACAGTAGCAACTGCGGGTCCCTGTACGTGCAAAGCAAGCGCCCAGTAACTTTGATAGCTGGCTCTAGGTTCGTTCGTAAGCACGTCGTTTGAAATGGTGACGACTGACGCCTTTCGTAAAACATTATTCAACAGGACGGATGCCTGTTTTGTTTCTTGTTACAGTGCCGCTGCTGAATGTCGGCACCAAGATTCTTACAGAAAGTCGGGATTATGCCTCCATGCCGATGGCTGCACAGAGTCATCTAATGCTCCCCTGTGGCGTGTATAGATTAGCATGGATTAGCACCAGGTCGGATTAGCACATCTTTTGTATCCGATGCGTATCTATGTCAGAATCCCGGAACCCTCCTCAGGCACGTGCCTTATCTCTTTGTGTGGCTCCACGTCGGCGTATGTTCGCTGTTAATTAGACCGAGCTACCTGATTAGGGAACCCACCGACGTCGCTGCCTGTCATAAGGAGACAGCGCGAGGAAAGCGGCTAGTGATAGGTAAACAGGGCTGGTTGGTGCTGGTCCACTGGCGGATCCAGGGTTTCAGCGCGGGGGGGGGGCATATGTACCAGGTCACGGAGCCAAACCTAGGGTACCCCCAAATCCTGTTTTCTCATCGGATTTAGGCCACTTATTTTTCGTTAGCCCTGACACGAGTTTTTTCTTTAAAAAAAAAAATAAAAAAATAGTAGGACACCTGACCCCATTGGCAGATCCAGGAGGAGGAGGCTTTTGGGACAAATACCCGGGCAGCGCCAGAAATCGACGAGAATTGGTGGGGCCGGTGGGGCCCTCAGAATGACTGGTGTGTAGAGCCGACCCAAGGGCCGCTGGTGTGGAACCTTAAGAGGTACTGGCGTGGGACCATCAAAGGTATCGGTGTGGGTTCCCCAGAGGCAGTGGTGTGGGGCCCTCAGAGCCGCACTGGTGCAGAAACCACAAAGGACTCACATGGACGCCGTTGTGGTGCCTCAGACACTGGTGTGGCGCTAAGCCCACACCATTCACAGATGGCTGTGTGTGGGGCCCTTGGAGTTGTTGGTGCGAAATGCGAATGCTTAATAACCCAGTAGGGCCTCTCAGAGACCGACAAAGGGCCCTCAGAGGCCGGTGACGGGCCGTATGATGCCAACAATGGGCCTTCACAGGCCGGCAAGTGAGGGCCTGCAGTATCTTCAGGAGCCCTGTGGAGTCCTTAGAGATCGGCATGGTACTCTCAGACGCCGGTGGGGCCCTCGGAGTCACCGGTGTAGGACCTACAGAGTTACCGGTGGCTGGCTGCCAGAGACACTGGTGTGGGGCCCCAGAGGCGCCGGTGTGGGACGCTCAGAGTCGCCGATGTGGGGCCTCAGGAGACACTGGTGTCTCAGAGGTGGCGGTGTAGGGCCCTCAGACGTGTCTGTGTGGTGCCCTCACAGTCGCCGGTGAAGACTTTCAAAGGCATCGTTGTGGGAGTCCTCACTTCTCAGAGACACAGACATGGGGGCAAAGGGTCTTCGAGAGGCCAGCAAGGGGTGGATGGAGGCCTTCAGGAGCACTGTGGGATCCTGGAGACCGGCGTGGTACTCTCAGGCGTCGCTGGGAGCCCTCAGAGTCACCAGTGTGGGGCCCACAGAGTTGCAGGTAGGTAGCCGTCAGATGCGCTTGTGTAAGACCTTCAGAGGCGCCAGTGTGGGGCCCTCAGAGCCGCCGCCGATGTAGGACCTTAAGAAACATTGGTGTTAGTCCCTCAGATTGGCGGTGTTGGGCCCTCAAAGGCGCCGGTGTGAGACCCTCACGGCTCACAGACGCCGTTATGGGCCCTCAGAGACACTAGTGTGGAGCCGTTCCATGCGGGTATGAGCAAGGACCATAATTAGAGCTGACGCTTAATAGGTCAGCAAGGTCACTCAGAGGCCAGCACAGGGCCCTCAGAAGCCGGAGTGGGGTCCTTATGGAGATGTGTGATGTGTGGCGACTCAGGAGCCCGTGACTCCGTGGGGTGCTCTCAC